CACCATGTGTATAAATAAAGTATAACTACAATTAACACAATGATGATGCTAATTAGTGATGGATCCCTCCAAAAGAAATCTCTAATAAAAGCCTGGGATGCATCCAGGGATGTAGTATGAAAGTAAAAAAATTTTGCTTATTGCACAATACTCTCCCCCTAGAGCGTTTGTTTTCATGGTAGTTGTCAGGAAATTGCAATGACGTCATCTGCAAACATTTCCATCTCTGGAGGCTATGATCTCTGCTCTACGTCACTATGGTTCAGAAAACTGCAGTGACATCATCTGCAGACATTTCCATCTCTACAGTCTATGTATGACCTTTGCTCTACATCACTTTGGTCTACCGGGAGCAGCAGCACATCCTGGAGAAGACTCTATCTATTCCTGTCTCAATTCATGGAAAGTAAAACGAGGAAGCAAAACTTCAATGCTCTTAGAAGTTCGTGTTTATTAAATTTCCAACGCCATCCAGAACACTACAAACTTGAGATTTGAACAAGGAAAGAAAACAGTCATCCTTGGCTTACACTGGCTGCTTTTCTTCAGTTTTGATTTCCTGATTTATTTCTAGATACTGGCTTAGACAACAGGATATTTATTTCCCATGAAAAAGAAAAGATGATTAAATAAATGCTAAATGGAAAAGACTACTATTTGCAGTCTGGTTACTCCTTTTTTTAGAGGGATAATAAAAAGAATATTTTAAGCACTCAACTCAGCTATTTTACAAAGTAAAACTGATATTAAAAGGTTGAACTCAGGCTGGAGAGTTGGCTCAGTAGTTAAGAGCACTGGCTTCTTCCAAAGAACAGGTTCAATTTCCAGCACCCATGTGGCAGCTCACAACTATCTATAACTTCATATCGGAGACATATACGTGCAGGCAAAACGCCCATACACATACAAACAAAAACAAAATAAAAGTAAAATTAAAAAAAAAAAAAAGGTTAAACTCAATGTTTCTGCATCTCTTGCAAAAACAGTAATAAAAATGTTCTTAAGTCCTGTTCCACTGTGGCCTCAAGGGGGGGGGGGGCGTTGGAAAAGACTGAGCTATTAGCCCTCTGGAGAGCTGTCCCTGTCCTAAACCCCCTGGAAGAGGAGGCAGGAAGAGTGTAAGAGCCAGAGGGGATGGAGGACAGCAGGAGAACAAGGCCCTCTGAATCAATTGAGCCCGGCTCATAGAACTCACAGAGACCGAGGCAGCATGCGCAGGGCCCGCACGGGTCTGCACCACGTCCTCTACATATGTTTTCATGGGACTCCTGAGTGTGAATGAGTTGGGCTCTGGTTCTTGTGCCTGCTCTTGGGGCTCTTCCCTTCTGTTGGGTTGCCTTCTCTAACTTCAGTGTGATGGCTTTTGTTTTACCTTCTTATGTATTATTTTGTTATGTCTTCTTATCTCTTAGAAGCCTGTTCTTTTCTAAGGAGAGACAGAAAGGCAGTGGATCTGGATGGGAGGGGAGGTGGGGAGGAACTGGGAGGAGTAGAGGGAGGGGAAACTGTAATCAGGATACATTGTGTGAAAAAAATCTGTTTTTAATAAAAGGGGCGGAAAAAGAAAGAAAAGGTGTCCCTGTCTCAAATAATGAGATCGGTCTGCCATTGTTCACCCAATGCCCACCGTCTACCCAAGCCCCTCCCACACTGGTTTAAAACTCTTCGAGTCAGCAGTTGAATCTTGCAGAAATTGGGATTTTGTAAGATACATTATGAATTAACACTATACACGTCTCAGAGCCACCACCCTGCAATGTGTAAACTGGTAGCTGATTGATCTCCTTAAGTGAATACAGCTGTGACTCGTGGGCCTCTCACAGCGCGTTAGCAGGAGCGGTTTGCAAAAGGTGTGTTTGTAGCACTCCAAATAGCTTCCAAATACCATTTAAGTCCAGTTTAAAATATACCATAGCAGGTTAACTCAGCTTCCACGTCGCTCACCTGACTTTAAAGTGTCAAGCTTTAGGGGAGACGAACGGGACAGTTTTTCAACTGACTAAGTCCCAAGGAAAAAGGAAGCCTTGAGAAGCAAACGAAACTTGAAAAGCTCATTTCCATGGGCCCTCATTCTGAGTGTTGGGCTATTTTTATCCTTTTTTTTAAAGCAGCAATGCCATGCTGCCTGTATAAGCAAGCATTTGTGCCGAGGCAAGCACAGCGCCCCGTGGCCCCGTGGTACAGGGACCCATGGCACAGCTGTCCAATTTACATTCACAAATGCAGGTGTTGCTCAGACACAAAGCAGAGGTCGGCTGAATGCTGCTCCTAATTACCTACCTTGTCTATGAGGGTTTTCCTTTGTAAAGTTATGCATGCAATTTGGGTTCAACTTGGAGGCCATTTTTAGATCCCAGCATGCTATCCAGCAAGAAATGAGCTGTCATTATAAAGCATAATTTACAGCATAGCTAATTTTACATTTTTTAAAAGTCTACTCTATACCTAAGACAAAACTCTATTCTGTATATGCATTATTCACTGTTTTCCATCTACTCCTCGGTATTTAGAAACACAAGGAGGGAGAAACTGTTGTTAAGCAGAAATGGGAAGAATGTCTTCCTATTTCTAAGATGACGTTCACAATTCTAACAACGAAGACCAAGGACTTTGTTAAACAATACAAGAAGAGACGTGGCTATCTCTCTGCCACTGTCAGCAGTGGGGAGCATGCCAGGGCTTATAACAGCAGTTCTTAGAAATGGCCGGATGCGGGGCTGGGATCTAATACGAGCCATTAGGAAACCTAATCCCTAAATGAAATGACCACAAAATCCTACCAGTTAAGCGAAATGCAGCAGCTGTACATGTTTATAGTAATACAATAGGATACTGTTTCAGAGGGAACCCAGCAGGTAAGGTAACACGCTTATTTCTCCATTTGGAAAAACTGAACAGGCCGAGCTTTGGAATACATAAACAGGAGAGAAGACAGGTAATGTGTGCACTAAAGGGCCACAGAAATCAGCAGGCAAAGGCACTGGGTAAGTCAAACCACAGCAACTCCCAAGGTTTGCAAGATGCTGGACCCCCATCCCGGCAGCTCCTCGTGGAAAGTAAAGTGCCCTGGGCTCCTTTCAGCACTGACTCGGCCTCCTATAAATTCCAAATGCTGATTCTTACCCTGCTTCCCATTATCTGTCTTTCAAAAATGTATGCTATGGAAGCTTGAGTTCAGTTTGACCTTAAACTTTACCACGATATTTTAAAAGCATATATGTGTGTATATATATATATGTATATATGTATGTATATATATATGTATATATGAATGTTTATGTGTACCTATACACATATACTGTATAACAGGATTCTAGACTGCTTTTCCAATGGCATCCGATGCCTTTCTTCAAAGGCTTACTACAAAGCAGTAAGCTTTCTTTACAAAGTGTAACTGGTATCATCAGGGTTGTGACAAACGCATCTTGCTTGGCCTTATTCACTAGAGGCAGTCCATCAAGATTCAGATCCTTAGCCCTTCAGAATTCTAGAATGACAAGAAGCCCCGTTCTATTCCTCCATATTCTGTGGAGGAATGCAAAGTATTTTGTTGAGGTAAGTAGGGCTTTAAAGAAGAAATCACTGGGCCCACTCCTAGGACTGATGTTCTCAGTGCTCGGCATTCAGAAGGCTCTTGGAGATCACTCTAATCCCCTCCCAGGGGAAAATGAACCCCACTCTTGACCATCCCCAAAGACTTGTAGACAATTTCCTTACTTGCCTCCTGGCTCCAGTGAAGATCATGAGCCTAATTCTTACAGACTGCTACTAAAATTCCAACCCACTGAACTCTGCAGCCTAATTCTGCAGGCAGCATTATGTTTTTTTGGCAGAATGAATGTGACCCAGATTTGCAGGAGATTATCTGCTGCAACCATGCTTACAATGCAGTGAGCCATGATTAGCATTCAGGATTGCAAACGTTAGACTTGAAAAAGACAAGTTCTTGCTGCAAGAATGGACAGGTTTGTATCTTGTATTACAGAAAGGGAAATGCAAGTGCTTAGCAAAAATGTGTACAGTTTCATGAATTGAGGAAGTTTTGCAGATCAATGAGAAATAATCAAGGCCTAGAAATGGACTTGGGTACTTGGTGGCAAAAGGCGTTAGCAGTTCTTTAAGGATTGGGAAGTTCGTGTGCAGATGTGTACGTGTGCTTATTAAAACATCATGCATCCTGTTTCCCATCAAGAGTGGCTAACTCTACTCTAAAAGGCCATCTTCAGACCTAAACTGTCTTTCAAAACAAAGTGGAAACCATTACTACGGCTCTTCCTGTGTTTACCCACCACACTCCCAGGAATGAGCTAGTCACCATTGCCCATCTTGTCAAGATCCATCAGCTTTATTTTTTTTATTTTATTATTTATTTATTTATTTATTTATTTTGTTTTTTCGAGACAGAGTTTCCCTGTGTAGCTTTGCGCCTTTCCTGGAACTCACTCTGTAGACCAGGATGGCCTCGAACTCACAGAGATCCGCCTGGCTCTGCCTCCCGAGTGCTGGGATTAAAGGCGTGCGCCACCACTGCCCGGCCAAGATCCATCAGCTTTAACACAGTGTGTCAAGGGAGGTTTGACAGTTTTTGTCTTGACTAGACTCTGTGGATCAGGTTTTGGAAAAGCAGCAGCTCTGTTCCCACTGTATAGGTGTACTAAAGCCTCGACAGCTAATGTCTCACTCTCCTAAGAAACCTGTCACTTGTTCTCTGGTGGGCTCTGAACTGACCCTCTCACTGCTGGAAAGCCACCTCTGGTTAGGATAGCAGCTGTCTTCCTCAGATTCATTCACCCTCTCAGAACTCAAACACCAAGCCAAGAGAAATTGGTGGACAAGTTACGTTAGGATGGGGTTTCTTATTCCAAAAAGTTAAGCATGACAGGAAGAAACGGACAAAACAAAATCAAAATACGCAAGGGGCAGGGCCACAGTGTGTCCAGCTAGGGCTAGGAGGCGCATGCGCACAGGAGGTGGCCAGCGGCCTCACTAAGGTGGCTTACCTTGTTTCTTTTGAAGTAGGCTCTCCGGCAGGCCGCAAAGCACTTCTCGCTGCAGAAGCTTTTCACCTCGCTTCCCATACTCAGGGAATAGCGCTTGATTCCCACTTTCTGGCACCAGGCACACATTATTTGTACATTTGACACATCATCTTCTATAATAAAAGTATAAGAAAAATGTTCATATCAGAAGCAAACATCCTTCACATTTAGACACACCCTGACCCTGACAGAGCTCCCGGGGTCGGCTCGCAATTTCCAAACCTCACCATTTTCTGATGGAGTAGGAGGGCCAGTCTTAGGGAAAAGGGAGGGTGCACCAGTTTGTCTTTCTGCTTAGGGGCATGTGGGTGCTGGTGTTTCCAAAGACATTTTACTTAGAAACCAGAGCACGACTGCAAAGCTCCAAGAGTTCCGGGACTTCTTAACCTAGTCAAACCAGCCACGGCGGTAAGCGAAGAAGGTTGTAAAATAAACAGCGCATTTTGTCAAAGGTCCTGCAGAAAGTCTTCAAAATGGGCATTAGGTGGGGCGACCCGTGCCATGTGAAGCTGCGTGTGAACTTGGACAGAGGCCAGCAGCCGCATGCATGCTCCCATCAGAGGGAAGTGGACAGTGCTGTTGTTCAGTATTACAACCTGACTGCCAAGTCAGGTGTTTCATAAAAAAAGGAGACGTTGTGAATGGCCGGGTTCTGGCAACGGGCAGCGGGAAGGCCTGGCTTCCTGGGCATTCTTCTACAATGCACTGTCAGGCACTGCTGACCTCAGGGAAACACGGGCCCAGTTTAACTCGGCTCCATTTGATGTCATTTCTGGGCCCTAAGTGAAGGGATGGTAAGGGTGTGAGAGTATTCTCAGGCAGACTAGAGTGGGGGCATCCTCTCAGCTCCTGGAAGACCCCTCAACCATGTCAACAAGGTGCTCATATGGGTTCTAGATGGTATGCAAATATCTTTAATATTTAAATATTATATTTCATTTCCTTATATGAGAAGAAAAACTTAACTAGCATAAGCTACCAAGACTGTCACATCCATTACTGCTTAAGACAGATGGGCTGTTAAAGAGAGCAAAGAGAATGAATTAAATTAAATATCCTGAGTAAACCACAGTGCAGACAGGAAGAAGCGGCCGTAGGATGGGGCTGGTGACACTCAGATGCCTGCAACTTGGGAATATTGATCTTTTTTGGGAAAATAAAAGATGATGTTAGAAAACTTTTAAAATATTTTCTGGCTGCCTCCTAGGAGCTGTCACTGTATTTTGAATGGTGTTCCCTGTCCTCTCTTTTGACTCTGTGTGTGTGTGTGTGTGTGTGTGTGTATGTATGTGTGTGTGTGTCTGTATGTGCATTATGAGTGTCTGTGTGTAAGTTTATATATGTCTGTATGTGTATATATGTGTGTGTGCAGGTCTAAGTGTGTATGCATATGTGTGCATGTCTGAGTGAATGTGTCTGTGTGCATGTCTGAGTGTCTGTGCATATTTGTGTGTCTGAGTGTATATGTGTGTGTATCGGTCGGTATCTGTGTGTATGATGTATGTGCATGTATGTGTGTTTGTGTCTGTGTGTATGTGTGTGCCTGAGTGCGTATGTGCATGTGTGTGTTTATGCGTGTGAACATGCAGAGCTCTAGTTGGCACTATGAACAGCAGTCCCTCTTTATGGAATCTGTTTTGTACTGACCCAGACGCATAATTCAGACATGAATAGGAATCACAAAAGCCCCAATGAGCTCTGGTGCAGTGTGTCTGATTTCTGAGTAAAATCCCCCAAAGACTAATTGCTAAGCAAGGCCTGATCCATGAGTTGTTGACATATTCATGGTTCACGGAGTCTGTCATGTAATCATTCCATTTCCAGGGAAAAGATTTGGTTTGGGGCACTATGGTCATCAGTCTGCAAAATTAGAAACAAACTCATTTGTAATACAGCAACATGGCTTTTCTCCCTAAGTATCGACTCAGAACCACGGGCAGCACTTTATCTATCATAAAAGAACAAACATTGTCATTTTAATAACTTGTGCTATTTCTCAAACCACATATTGGAATCTATGGCTCATTATCACACAAGACAGCATAAACGAGACTCTTTGATGTTAGTAAACACTTCTGATAACATGACATCCTTTAAATAAAGTCATAATATGAATTCAAATGTAACATAATTACTGCACTGGATGAATGTGTTCTGTTCAGAAAGCTTTTATTTCTCTTTCATATGATTTCTATATGACACCTGTTTACAGACTTTGCATGGCATGAAAAGTTAGCAAAAGCTCTCCAAGTGACCACATGTAAAGTGAGTTCTTGGATTAGTAATAGTTTTAAGATGATCGCCCATCACTACTACACTAACTGGCACTAATAATTCCTATTGTCCCAGTTGATACATCTTAGATTCCTGAAAAAGAAGATGACGCTGTGGAGCTCTCACACATGACCCAGTGGCAATGGTCTTGGTTCTGGTGAAATCTGTAAGGAAAAAGATGTCATGAAGGAAATCATTCGGTCTCACAGTTTAACAAGGGCCCCATTTCCCAAGGAACCATTCAGGAACACTCATTTCCCCTCAGCACTTCTTCCTTTAAATAGTCTGGTTTGAAAAAGAAACCCTGAGTTTTTCAAGTCCTGGCTCTGTTGATGGGATGGACCAGAGCAGACGAGAAGAGGCAAGGGGCAGAGCTGAAGGGAGGCCCGTGTCGAGCCCACCACAGGGCCTGGCCCTGAGGAGGACAGGGTCAAAGGGCATCCCAGGCCACCAAAGAGGCCCATTTGTCATGTTCTAAAGAGTGTAAGGACACTTTCTTACAACAGGACCTAACAAATAAAAGCATAAAAATTTAAAATACATTAGGCTCATATAAAATATTCTTACTAGAAAGTTACAGTGTGGGAGATAAGACAAAGGATTTTTGTATTTCTATTTCTGTAGTGGGAAGGGATGCAGAATGGTAGTTAGCATCTGTCTTGTTAAATAAATCAGTATTCCTGTCCATCCTGCTTCCTCCAGGCAAATACTCTGGGAAAGGCCCAGCCGACGGCTCCTGCTCTGCCATCAAAGTTGTCAACAATGAATGACCCAAAGATGAGTCTGAGGAGTGGGTTATTCCAAAAGTCCTCAAGAATAGTTTCAGGTATGACAGGTATCTAGTCTTACAATAGCCAATTAATGCCACACTTCGGAAACTAAAAGAATTGTCATGGTTAAATGAATTTTGCCAGTCAAAACACAGTTTAGAGTCCCTCACTAGACCCAGTGTGCCACCACACATGAGGACCGTCCCTAAAAAGAGAACTCTTCCTGAGAAATTACAGCCAAAATGTGTTTCAGTTAAGTCTTTAAAAAAAAAAATAACCTTTAAGTCTGGTGTGCTAATTAGCTTCTATTGTCAATTTGACTCAACCTAGAGTCACAGGGGAGAGGGAACCTCAGTTGAGGATCTACCAAGATCAGACTGGCCTGTGGGTGTGTCTGTACAGAACCATCATGATCATTAATTGATGTGGGAGGGCCCAGCCCACTGTGCGCAGTACCCATGAGTGAGCCAGCTAGCAGCAGCGTCCTTCCCTAGCTTCTGCTCCTGCCTTGAGCTCCCACGCTGACTTCCCTCAGTGGCTGACTGTGACCCGGAAGTATAAACCAAGCAAACCCTCTCTTCCCCGGTTTGCTTTTGGTCAGAGAATTCAATATAGCAACAGAGAGGAAAGCAAGCTCTGGGAACGGCGTGTGCCCTCTGCCCTCGTGAGAGAGAAGGCCTGGCAATTTAGCCTTTCCTGAGTGGACCTGGTTTTTAATGTTTTATTTTTTTTTAAAAAAAAGTCTTCAAACTAGGTAGTATCTTATTTCCTATCTTCTGTGTAGGCTAGAAGTCTGCACCATCGGAGACTTGGAGGTATATCATTGAGGACTCATATGACAGGCTTATAGTATAGCAATTAGCCAGTATATTTTCATAAGGAACAATGTAGCAACAAAGGCAAAATGTTAGCGCATTAAATAACATTCCCAAAGTGAACAGTTTGCATACCATGATACAATTTTCATCTGCTGTCATAGAAAGATGTATCAGTCATGTTTCAATTAATCATGAAAGTTGATGTCTCCTCTTTAGCATTTAATTAAGCAAAATGTTTGTAGCATTTTTCTTTCTAATGCTCAAAGAGCTATAATACACTTTTCTATTGTGCATTCCAGAAGAAAAAGTCTAGGTTAATAGCTCTAAGATGAAACTAAAAATTGCATTTGTTTATTTATTTATTTATTTATTTATTTATTTATTTATTTATTTATTTATTTATTATAATCCAGAGAAGTATGAGATTGAATATTTCTGGAATGCCTCACTGAAGCAGCTTTAGCAATTGCCTTGTCTGGTGGCTTTTAAAACTAAAGATGGCTATCGGTCAGTGACCTTCTTAGGCCATTTCAACTGAAGCAGTGAACACATATACTGACTTACTTGATAAGAGCCCAAGGAAAATCAAGAAGGCTTTAGTGGACCCCAAACAATTATGCTGTAATTTTAATTGTCACTTTCATGAAAGCCCAAAACTGAGGGGAAATTGGGAAGTAGTTGCTGAGGGTGTTATCTCCTGCTACAGTTCCTGGAATTCACACATTCAATAATCATTTTAAGACCTCAAGTATATTTGAAACACATTGCAAAGTTGCCTGAAGATGCTCCTGTGTGCTCCCCATACCATGAAATGAGAGTCTTGGCACCATTCTTGTCAATCTGTTTGTAGGAACAGCTAATCTAAGAACAGAATAAAGGGGAGGGCCTGTGAGAGGGCATTGGCTGGTTAAAGGTACTTGCCACCAAGCCTGATGACCTGAGTTCCATACGCAAGACACGCATGGAGGGAAGACACAAAAAAACTTTCAAATGTTGTCCTCTGCCCTCTCTCTACACACTAGTTCGCACGCACGCACGCACGCACGCACGCACGCGCGCACACACACACACACACACACACAGGTGGGCAAAATTAGAGTTTAAATTTGATTTTCTTTTCAGTCTGTTTGCAAAGAAAGAAATTTCATCTTGTAATGATTCAGTTCTACAGATCTTAAGGCAGTCCAAGTTAATAGTCTCTAGAGCAGTGGTTCTCAGCCTTCCTAACTCTGTGACCCTTGAATACAGTCC